TGTCATTAAAGCATGTAGAGGTGCCCTCTGCCCTCTGGGTTCTTGCGGGCTGGAATGTGGGCATGATGGCTGAAGTTTCAGTGCTTAGAGAGGACTGTGCTCATCAGTGATGTTTGGACTGTAAGCCACCCATAGCAAACGCACAGAGGAGCTTGGGTCTCTGACAAGCCTGCACAGCCACCTCCAGGCTTTTAGTTTTAAAAAATTTTTTTTTTAAATTAAAAAAACTTTTAATAACATTTTACATTCAATATTATTTTGTGTTAGCTTCAGGTCTGCAGCATACTGGTTGGACAATCATCCTCCTGATATTTCCAGTACCCAACGGGCACCATACATAGTTATTACAGTATTATTGACTGCATTTCCTATGCTGTATTTCACATCTCCATGACTATTTGTAATTACCAATCTGTACTTCTCAATCCCTTCATCTTTTTCACCCAGTCCTCCAACCATCTGTCAACCATCAGTCTATTCTCTGCATCTATGAGTCTGTTTCTGTTTGGTTTGTTCATTTATATTGTTCTTTAGATCCCGCATATAAGTGAGATCATATAGTAATTGTTTTTCTCTGATGGACTTATTTCACTCAGCATAAGACCCTTTTCGTTCATCCATGCTCTTGCAAATGACAAAACTTCATTTTCATTTATGGCTGAGTAATATTCCATTGTATATACAGGGGGGGCAGAGTAGGTTTACAGTTGTTCGTCTGGAAAAGAATAATTAATAAATAATAATGCAAGAATGAACTCTGTGTTCTGTGTACTCATAACTGTAAACCTACTTTGCCTACACCTGTATGTACCACAGCTTCTCAAAAACCTCAGAGAGAAATACACTTCCACTTTCTTTAAGCCCTTGTTACCTTGGCGTTTCCGGTTATCCCAGCTGGATGTAATGCTCACTAGTAGAGTGAGCAAGACTTGATGCAGAAAGATGAGCTGGGCAACTATTGCAGTGGCAGGGAACAGGTGACAAGAGCCTGAACTAAGGCAGTAGCAGTGGGGAAGGTGAAGAAAACCTGCTAGTGATGGTTGAGAGGCTGAGTGGACTGGATTTGATTACTAATGGGTAGGCAGGTGAGAGATGAAGTGACAGCAGAGTAGAGCTTTATATCTGGGTTTCTGGCTTGGACGCCTTGGAGGGAGCATGGAGGAGGATCTGTGGGCATGGTGAGGAGCCCCTGAGGGAATCTAAAAAGTGAGAACTCCAAGGAGAGAACTTTTGAGAACATTAATAATTTGAGGAGGGAGCAGGGGAAGAGGCGGGTAGGCAGATGACACCAGGACCAAGAGCAGAGAGGTTAATAACGTCAGTCACGAGAAGTAAATTAAGATGAAGAATGAAATTCCAGGGATATTTTCATAAAAGTCACTGTGACGGGATGGATGTGGAAGCCAAGTGGCTTAGGAGCCAATGGGAAGTGAGGAAATGGACACATGCCTCTAGGCTGCATTTTAAATGATGTTACTCATGGAGAGGAGAGTTGTTGCCAGAGTGGGATGGACGTTTTTGTAAAGTTTGCTTATTTTTATTATTTTTAAGTTTCACATGGCCTGTAGTATGCTTATGGGACTTGGGGCGCAGCTCCTGGTGGCAAGGTTGAGATATGGGAGAGGGGACCTCTGAGGAGGCGCTGCATGGGGGGGGAGGATCAGTCTGAGCAAGTTCATTGCTTTTTCTGAGGCTCAGAAAAAGAAGGGAGGTGGAGGCAGAAATAAGGCCTTTGAAAATATTAATTTGGGGGACTGAGGGAGTTTATATTTTTCAGCTTCAATTTTCTTGGTGAGGAAGGAGAGAAGGTTACCCTTGGGAAAGAGTAGATGATGGGACAGTGGTGGGTTTGAGAAGAAGATCTGAAAAGGCCACCGCGGGAAACAGGAGAAACAGCCCAGGGGTGACAGGTCTACCTGCCTTTGCATGCTAGCCAGTGGTCGCCTTTATAAAATGCAGTGATCAAGATCAATGTGAGGCAAACCAGTGAAGGCCTAGGCCTTGAAACCATAGCTGGTGACGTTGAGCTGGGCTTTCTCACCTCTACTGTCACTGCTTCAGTTAGTGCTGATCCGCAGGAAGGACATCTTGGTACACGTGTACTGCAAGGGCACAGATGACAGAGCCTTCACCACACCACCCTGCAAGCAGCCTTCCCAAGGGATGAGCACCAATGACTGGTGCACCTGTTATTGGTTTGATTTCCAATTTGATAGCAAGTTTCTAGGAGTGGGGGGAGACGAATCCAGGCCACAGGCCCTCCAGGCTCTCTTCAATGGCCCAGTTGTGGCCTATTCACTGGCAGCAAAGGGAAACTGTTCAGCTGCTGGGGGATAGTTGGATAAACCCAAAATAGGTCACTGCCTGGAAATGTGGAAGATGCCTAGACTGCCATTGTATCTCTTCACCCAACCATTTTGTATGGGATGTTTTGCTTCACATCAGCTTTTGTTTGGTGATCCAAATTCTGTCATGTTTCTGTCAAGTGCTGACTCTTAGAGGTTGGAATTAAGTGTTTGTTTGTTGTTGTTGTTGTTGTTTTTAAAGCATTTCCAATTCATCTTACTTCCAGGATTCTAAATGATTTTAGTTGACAAACTGTGACTACCTCAGCATTGGGACACTGAGGAGTATATGGATCCTCTGTGGCCTGGATTTCCTTTTCTATCTTGGCACAGATGGAATGTTTGTGTCCTCCCACCCCCCAAATTAATATGTTGAAGCCGAGTGTGATGGTATTTGTAGGCGGAGCCTTGGGGAATTAGGGTGAGATTAGATGATAAGCTAGCACCTTGATGTTGGATGTCCAGCCTCCAGAACTGTGAGAAAATAAATTTCTGTGGTTTAAGTCACCCAGTCTGTGGTCATTTGTAATGGCAGTCAGAGTTGACCAGTATAGCATCACAATGTAAAAACCAACCAACCAACGAACAAAACAAACAAAGGAAGTACATGGTCACAGATTTTTACCCAGCCAAGGTCCTTCTAATACTACTAGTAAGAATCCTTCTTAGTTCTTGACCAGCAGGGCAACTACAGGATGCTGTACGATGCCATCCTTGGAGGGTAGAGTGCCCAAACCTGGCATACAGCCCTTGTCCTTTAGCCTTCCATTTCTTAAGGCTTATGTGGGCTCTTAATCATGGCATCATTAGGGTTAAATTTCAGATGGAAAATTGTATGAAACACATGCTGAGTACACTTGCTCTCAAGTGGTATTAAATCACCTTGTTATTTATTAGCCTCTAGAATGCTCTAATTTACATGTGGTCTCTCCTCCTAGGGGTACTTCAAGTAAATCTGAATTTGTTTATACGATTTTATGGGTACTATAAAACCACAATTGAATTTCAGGCCTTTGTAGTCATCCAGCCTTGCAAGATGCTCTCCAATTAGAAATAATTGCTGTTAATGCTGTTATGAGTGGTGGATGCCCACTACACCCAGACCTTTGTTCTACTAAATCCCCTAAGAGTCTCTTCTTTATGCTTCAACTAAATAGACAGGCCCCTAGAAGATACGCTTTTGGAATTGTAATAGAGGAGCAATATTGTGCCTCTCTGTTAATTACCCTTGTTAACCAAGGATTTGGAACTTCAGTTGGTCAGTCAGGGGGCCTTTTGATCCTCTCAGTACACATCTCCAGTCGAGTAGGATGTCACTCTTGTGAAATAAGATGCCCTTTCTTCTTTGGCACATACCAAACAGCTTTATTATTCTCTGAGTAATGATGCAATATTCCTCTTTGATGAAATCATGTGTATAAAGTGCTGAGATTCGTGCCAAGCACAATAAATATTAGCTATCATTTTTATGATCACAAAACAAGTTTTTTTTTTGTTTTGTTTTTTTAAAAAAAAGACTTTCTGAATGGAAAGGAAATACAGGAGCAGCATTGTCGGAATCCTACGGACAGCTCAAGATAAACCAGTCCACAGTGGACTCCAGACTCCACATCCCTATTGCTCTAAGAGCAACTTACCCCCAAGATACATAAACTCGCCAAAACCAGTTTGGCTCAGTGGATAGAGCGTCGGCCTGCGGACTGAAAGGTCCCGGGTTCGATTCCGGTCAAGGGCATGTACCTGGGTTGCGGGCACATCCCCGGTAGATGTGCAGGAGGCAGCTGATCGATGTTTCTAACTCTCTATCTCTCTCCCTTCCTCTCTGTAAAAAATCAATAAAATATATTAAAAAAAAAGATACTTAAACTCTTTTCTTTGGACTCTCACAGGGTGACCCAAGGTACCTCTCATCCTTTCCTGTTCCCCACACAAAAGGAAGTAAGAGACAAAGGCTGCTGCTTTTCTTGCAAGGCAGGTGCCCCGTCCAGCCTGGGAAGGAGTTCCAGGGTATGGTAATGACCACATTTTGCTTAATCTTCCTTTTATGGTGAAATCTCCAAAGCATGCGTGCAGTAATGGCCAGTTGATTACACTGTAATGGAGGCAGCACTGATGAATGCAAAGGCATAAAATAGTCCACCCCATGGAAAAACATCTCAACATGAATCCCAACCTGAAATGCTAAATGAAACTAACCACATGAATGTGTCCTCTGGATTAATAGGTAGCAGTTTCTCTAATTCAGTAGAATGTCCTTTTCCGAGTGAGAAGCACCCATTCTTTGACCTCTTTTAGGAAGAAAAATGTGGTCCCATTCAGAGTTTGATGTAGGGTCGCTGCCTACCAGGGATTTCAGGGAATGGACAGCCAGGCTCCCTCACAGCGGCCCCCGATGTACCTCTAGCAGGATTGGCACTTCCTCTGTGAGCATCTGGGGCAGGTAGAAGCAAGCATTTGTGTGGCTGCTTTGGAAAGATGGACACGGGAGGCTGGCTTTTTCTACACCAGGGAGCACACAGAGGTTCAAAAAGGTTAAGGTGAAGAGCAAGGTGACAGGACATCTAGAGTTGTGTGTCCTCTGGAAAGAGGGCACTCCCGCTAAACACTCACCATGTGAGAGGATTCTCTCTCTCTCACGTCTATTGCAAGCAGAGATGACAAAAATGAGCTGTTTTTATTAATAATAAATAAAAGCACTCAACAAAAAAGCAGATGGCAACATTATTTTCAAAAGGATTGGCTGAATATTCCAGTCCAGATAGAAGAACACGAATGGTACTTTTCGTCTCCAGATATATTCTATCAGACAAAAATCCTTCTCTTCATGGAAATAAGCAGTATGTAATGTTGGGTTTTAGATGACATCAGCCATAGAGTTGGTCTTTAGTTCTTTTTCTTTCCAACAAAGCCATCCATAAAATTGAAGGCACCCACATATTCACCTATGAGCAGTATCAACTTGATGGGCAGGATACTAAAGAGAAAACAAGAGGAAACTTTCTCGGTTATCATTCATAAAAGCATCCTTACAGCACAGCTGAACAGCAGTGCCGCCGACCTGTCGCAGAAGAATTCACGCACGCACACATTGCTACGCATGCCCCAGTGTCGCCCTGGGCTTGTCTACAATGTGGGACGACACCAGCCCAGGGTTTCTATCCCTCCCTTTGCTTTATTTGCATCATTCAACTGACTTCTCACGTCCATTTCCAAAGCTTCCCTACACCATGTAATGATGGGCTGGAAGCAGGGACGTCTCGTGGAGTCAGCTGAGCCTGGCTTGAAACCCAGCTCTGTCATGTACAATGTCATCGCAGGCAGGTTACTGAGCTTGGGAGCCTGTTTCTTCCAGTGTAAAATGAGGTCATTCATCTTTCTTTCCGGGCCTACTGTGAGGATTAGATGCAATAGCTCCTCAGATGGCTGGCAAGTTCCAACTAAGACTGTTCATCTTCTCCACCCCGACGCGCCCCTCCTGACGGAGCACTCTGACCCTGCGGATTCTGACATTCACATTGCAGAGCGAGGAGAGGGGCAGTAAACAGAGCAGGCCCAGGAAACCTGACCCCTGAGCTAAGGGTGGGATAAAGTAAAGGACCCGTGCTGTCCCTCGGGGGACACCCCAAGAAACCCAGGCGGTTCCTGCCCTCCCCAGCTTCAGGTCTCTAGTAAATGTTACCTTTTCCAGGAGACCTCCCCTGAGTACCATACTGAAAACTAGACCTCAACCTGCACCCCCGATCCTACCACTCTGGAATTTCCTTTTCTTGCTTCATATTTCTTTGTTGCACTTATGACCACCCAGCATACCTTCTCTTTTACTTTATTATTTTTTGTTTGTTCCCTGATCCCTACCCACTAGGAAGATAATTTCCACAAGGGCCAGGACTCTTGTCTCTCTTATCCTTTGCTGTAACCCCCAATCCTAGGGTCATCAGCAATGCATGGCACACACTAGGCACCCTCTAATGCTTGTGGGATGTTTGAAGGAGTGTGTGCTGTTAACCCCCCTCATTGAACTTCTTCATGCTTTCAAAGCCTTCTCAGGAATTATGCAGACCCCCTCAATCCGGGATTTATAAAAGTAAATATCAACTCTGTAATTATTTTAAAAATTAGAAAAAGTAAATCCCAAGTTCTTTACAGTTGGCATTAACTTCTGTTAGGCAAGTGGAGGCACTGTCCTGTGAACACGCACGCTGCCCAGTAAAGTCATTACATTCACTCATTCACAAGCTGTAACAAGCACTGATTTCTACACTGTAAATGAGGAAATTGGACCTGGAGAATAAAGGTCATGTTCAGAGTCACAGGCTTAGTACACAGCAGGATTATAACTCCAGATTTCAATCTCCTTGCCATAGACCCTTTTGCCTCACCCCACACCTTAGCAGTTGTATCAGTCACCACTCCTGTGCTAGGTGGAGCCTGAGGAAATGAAGGCATGGAAGAGTGATTTTTGGTTAATTATATAAAGTAGATACAATTAGCTAAAGAGAAAAGACTTTTGCTTATGCAGGAAGGGCACCTCTTTTTTTTTTTTTTTTTTTTTA